ACCGGCCACCGCCGCAGCGCTCAGGCTCAGTCCGCTCCATGGGCAATCGCCCATCCACCGATCTCCAATTCGAAGTGACTGCTCCCTCTCCTTCCGATGGCCGGATCTCGCACGAATCCAAGGGAGCAGCAGCAAGTGCCCGAGGAGCGCTGGAACGGCTTGATGACCGCGCTCATGAACAAGCTGGAGAGCAACCGAGTCGCCTACAAGAAGCTGGTCGAGGCCGAGCTGAAGACCAAGAGTCTGGCCTCCAACCGCAAGAAGTATGTGGAGGCAGCCAGCCAGGCACCCGGCCGGTGCTTGCATCCGAAAGAACAGGTAGCATCCCGGGCCAACCAGTACGCATCCTGGACGGCATGTCTCCAGTGCGGCGCTCGGCTGAGCTACGCCTCCAAGACCCGCTCCCGGGCGGCGGCAGCCTCATCGTCGACGAGGGCATCTACAAGGACCTCCGCAGCGGCAGCTACCAGCAAGGCAGCGGTGACGTCGGGACGCCAGACGACGGGGTACGGGGTTCCCGAACCTCTGATGGCCAGTGCCTCCAGCGAGGCGACTCAGATCGTGGGAGAAGCCATGTCAATGCTGCAGGTTCAGAACTCTCAGCTGGCTACGGCGCTGACGCAGATCAATCACTCACTGCAGCAACTGGCACATGGTCAGAGCCAGATGATCACGATGGCAAATCCCGGTCCACTGCCTGCCAACTCCAATCTGAATCCGCAGACTCAAGGAATCATGCCGACGGAGATGCAGGTCGATATGATGTCGGATCATTGGTCGGCGACGGAGGTGGACTGGTCGCACCTGCCATCCCCGAAGAGCAACCTGACCGACGTGGAGGAGACAACGGAGGGGGACTTCAGCAATAATCCAAATTCGTGGCAGGGAGTGGTTTCATGAGGTGGGTGGTTTGCCTTTTTGGGCAGGCTGGGATTGGCTGACCCACTGACTATGTTGGCTGCTGTCATTCAACCTGTGAATGATAGTTGAGCAGTGACAGCCCCATCATTGGAACTGTGAGTGGTCATGGAGCAGCCCCATCACCAGGACTGGCTCAGAACCTGTCCTTCAACCTTATGATAGTAGTGAAAATATTCCCTTTGATTTTTCCTTTCCTTGAGCAGTCTCTCATACCAATGAGGGCTTGAACCAAAGACGTTGCCAAAAAACACGCTCTACAAAGCGCAGCCATACGCAAAACAATTACATGGCACTGAGACACGCGCGCGCAGCACACACACACACGCACATACACACACAGAGCGCAACAAACAATTGTTTTTATTCAAGTATTCTTCAAACTTCAAACTAGACCTGCAACAGACTGCTTTGGCACAAGCGTTTACTAGATAGGTTCAAAAAACTGAGAGCCTACAAACTCGAAAAAACATCTTGGTCGTCTCAAACTTTCCAGGCGATCTTTTTGTCGAACACGTTCGAGTCAGCAACATGCGACCATCATGTGACCCGGTGTCACTCTGAAAAACCCCAACTGCCGCTTGCAGCTGGCAACGCTTTTTCTGCAACTGCGGCAAGCATCGTTTTTTGCGAGGACTTGAAGGACACTCAGTGTCAGACTTAGCCCTCCCCTTCCACAAACAAGAGCCGAACTTCTCACACCCTTGGCAAGCGTAGGCTTAACACAGGTAGAACTCGCAACGAACTATTATATAGTATATATGGGTTAACCATGTTTTTTGCACCCTTGGAAGCTTCTGCCACAGCTGCCGACAAAGATTTCGCAGCGAAACTTTGGTCTTTGGTCAAATGAGCCGCGCAGAACATATCAGTTCACTCACATTCGGGAACGCGTTGAGCTAGCTCCGGAAGCCTGAGATAGACTTCTACAGCTACTTCAAGTTCATTCAGTCGCAAAGCATGACTTGCAACAAACCCCTGCTGTTGGCAGGAAGAGAAAAGAAGAGAAGTCTCCTTTATCAAAGAAACGTTGTCAAGTGGTGAAGGCACCAAAACTTCTCAGCACACAAGCGCACAACAAGGATCTCGCTCTGGTGCTTGGGATCTTCGGGCATCCTTATTCGGCTGACATGTTTAAACAAAAATCATGGCTGACAGCTAACGAGTAAGGCCAGGTCGGGTGGGTGTACTGGCAAACCTCCAAAACAGGTTCAGAGCCCACTTGTAGTCCTGGCGAGATCACAACGGCCGCTTTGTTCACATACATGTCGGCATCTGCTCCAGACCTAGCACGCTTTTGCTGTGACATGTGATCATCAGACTAATCAAGAGTAGTTCGATATTTCAAGACCCTAACACACCCCGTAAAGATTGAACTTGAAACGCCATCAAATCACCGACTGGCAGAGACAGAGATGTGTACTGGAAGGTCTCCGCCAGGTGCTGTCGGACTCTTTCCGAAAATTTCAGCTGACTTTGTGGAAGTTGTAAAGCCTGCGCACTTGCCAAACAAGATCCTTGGCTATGAGGACACAAACAAGGAAGGCAATCTGGAACCATGACATTCGACACGCAAACGACAGCCTTATGAGATCTTGTTTAGCGTCAAAGTGTGACCGTGCTCTGGAGGGCCAGCTTCTTCCGATGCCCCCAAAAGCACAATTGATTGTCCAAATTCATCAAAGGTTGCTTTTTGCGCTTGGCAAAAACGGATGATCGCGCAATCCGGCAGCTGCATGTCTCGCACAAATCCAACCATCTCTGTTTTGGATGCGTTGAAACTTTTGACCGCACCAGGCGACTCATACCGGAAAAACTGCATGCCAGATATCATGGCGATTGAATTTCAGTCTCGAGCGACAGTCAACCTTAGACCTGAGAGCCACTGCAAGCCAGCAATCCACCTGTGCAGCATGAACCTCGACTCAAAGCGTTTCAAAGAAGAGCGAAACGATGTGCCCACTATCAAGGCCCTAGGCCCCAGGTTCCAAACAAGCGCTGCACATGAACAGCTCAGTATAGATAGAAGGTCTTCTCAGCTGCTTTTTCCAAACTCTATATACACTGGTCTGCGACACTGCAGTGTACATCAGTTGGCGTCCGGAACAAAACCGGCTTTCAGTGCCTCACTGTAAGACTTGTAAGTTTTGTCTTTGTGGTGAAACAACCGCCATGGTTTGCCCTTCAGATCCCCAGACCCGCGGATAAACTCTCGAACCTGCGCAGCAAAAAGGCCGAAGGCGCTACATTGCTACATTACATCAAAAAATGACGGCTTCAAAAACATTGCGTAACATGATGTAAAGTAACAGTAGTGCATTGAGCCTCGCACCGTCCAGTCTCCGTTGATCCCTTCACGCCGCGGCCCACCATCTTGCGTACGAGGAAGAGGAAGATCCGTCCATTCCCAATCAGCGGGATTAAATGAACCCGGAAGCCTTTTGTTTTTCACTGGCTGCGCTGCATCAGAACCACCTGTGGCAGCCTCACCTTGATCAGGCTTCGGTCTTTTCTTTGGCGATGGCTCAGAAGAGCCAGCTGGCCTCTTGTAGGAGACAACACCTTTTGCAGCTGGCTCAGGCTCAGCAGAATCAGAAACAGCTGGCCTCTTGTGGGAGACAACACCTTGCGCAGCTGGCTCAGGCTCAGCAGAATCAGAAGCAGCTGGCCTCTTTTGGGAGTTTACACCTTTGGTAGCAGGCCTTTTCTTCAGCGTTGGCAGGCTCAGTTCCTCTACCTCACTAGCTTCGAAAGTGCCTTCTTCTTCGTGGGGCTTTGACGGAGGCACAACAAATGATGGACTCTCCACAGCATCACTCCTCACACCAGCTACCCCAGCACTCTTCCCATCACCCAGCCTCGCCCCATCACTTGTGCGCTGTCCCGGCTCATCCTCATTCTCATTCTCCTCCTCATCCTCTCCGAACACAAGTGTCTTGGCATGGAGTAGCGCGCTATTGCCAGTCTCACCATTGACAGGAGTGACGCTGCCTACTGCTTGGGGTTCTGCTGTTACTGCTTTTGCTGGTTGCTGTTCTGCTGCTGCGGCTGCTTGGCGGTCACTTCGAGAAGGGCTCTCACTTCGCAACTCCTCAGGCTTGGGCTTGGGCTGCGGTGACTCAAACTCAGACAAAGAATTGCCAGAGCGAAGCCGCAGCAACCTCGCAGCATCCGACCTGACAAGGCTGCGAAAATCAGGCCCTTCCATCGCGCCTGAAATGGACAGGCTGAAGGAGCCTTGAACTTGAAACTATGCAGAAAAAGCCGCCTGCACAAAATCACGCAGGACGGACAGTAACATGTTTCAGACACACACACACACACACACACTGGAACGCAGGCTTGGGAAATCACACTTTTCACAGAGCGATGCGTTCTCCATCCTTCACTTTAACAGTCAGCCACTTAGCATCAAAAGCTTCTGCTGGACGCAAACACGACAGTTGTTTCATAACTGCAACGAGGAGGCAAATACGATTGGATTCTGCAAACTTGGCGCGCAGAAGCATCACACAGCTGACAATGAACCAACCCACGGAAAAAAAGAGGGGGTGCGCCGAACGTCAAGCACAGCTGCTTCCATTCCAATCGAGTTTTGGACAACAAAAAACGCTGTATACATCATAAATCAACTGAACTTTGAGCGTCACACCCCACCCTTCCCCCCGCGCTACGCTGCCAGCACTGGCTTTCCAGGCTCCAAGGTCAAAGCTGACTGCAGCATGACGTAGGGTTTCTGACACTTGGTCACGGAGTGGACCCGGTCATAGCCTGACAGGACATAGGGAGTGGAATGTACGAAAAACACCTCATGACTGGTCAAATGGTGAGAAGGCCACACATCACAGAGCAACTTTTGAACCTGAAAGGTCCGAGAAACGAAACCGGAATACCACCCTCAAGATCTTGGACTTGGCGATCAGGGCAGCTGCATCATAGAACACTGACTTGCACGTCATTGGTTTGGACAGGTCCTCACGAAGTCAACTGGCGAGAACAAAGCACCGATCCTGACCCGAAAGGTTTAGAACGCAACTTGACAGGACCTATTGGCAAAGACTTGGAATGAACCGGCACACTGATTACAACACGTGGCAAGAATCTGGAATTGTTCGGTAGGCGTGAGGGTTCTTCACCTTCACGGAGAAGCCGTCGCCCGAAGCATCAACCTGACGTGAGATCTCAGAGTAGCTCACATCGTAACGCGTCACCTTCTTCTGCTTCTCCAGCAGAATCAAATATTTGTAGAGTGTCATGGACTCGATGGCCGTGCTGTCAGGGTTCAAGCTGGCCATGTCGATCTGGACCACGGTACGGTCCCCTTCCTCCCAACTGACAAATACATTCTGCTTTTCATCGAGCTGTTCACCAGGGGTCACAGGATGGTACCTGATTCAAAAACAACTCAACTCAACACAAACACAAACACAACTCAATCTAATCCTTCACACAAACATTTCAAAAGAAACCCAAATATCTAAAAAGGTGAGACATGGTGAGACCTTTCCGAGACACTTCCCTGTCCCAAAACCGCCCACCAACGTGTGCTTGGGCAAGATCTTTTGCTTGTCCAAGGCCATGAGATATACTGAACCAGACTTCCCACGACGCACCTCAACGCCAGCAACTTCGGAGCTGCAGCGCGGCTTCAGAGGGCCGTCTTCTCCCTCCAAGGCTTCCAAATTCTCAAAGACCTTGATATCTGGCGCTGAATCACCGCCAGAAGATTCATCAGCAGGGCGAACGAGTGTGTCTTCGACCACTGTGCTGCTCTGCACAATGTCCTTCAGAAGGGTCTGGTACTTCCCCTCATGCTGCGCTTTGAGCTTGGCAAACCTTGGGACTGATCGCGCAGTCAAGGCCAATCATGTTCAAGAAACTAAAAGAATATGGTGCGGCGGTAAAAAACATTGCCGTCATTCAAGGAGCTCATCACCAATGTCTCCCCCGACAGCTTCCCACTGACGCAGCTGATCAGGGTGGATCTTGTATTCAGCCCCCGACTTCACCAGCACCTGAAGGTCCAGGTTGTCCAGGTTTTCAAGGTACTGGTGGCCCTCAATGGCAGATTTCTCCTCACTTTGTTTCAAACGAGAAGCAATGAAACAATAATGATGGCCCTCTCATTCGTTTCAGGGGTTTGTCACTGCGTGCGCTATGTGACGTGTTGGGGTGGGGTGGAGGGTGGGGGATACTGACCAGTCGACCAAAAACGGGGTCCCACCAAGTTGAGCATCGGCAAACAACATTGGAAGACTAAGAGCGGCGTCAAACCAAGGCACTTCATCGCTCAAAGCGGGTTCTGACTCATCGAAAGACAGGCCGCCGTAGCTGAATTTCTTCTCGATCCAAAGGTCAAGCAAATCCCGATGCACGCGAGACGTCGCGTACTTGACATTCTCCTTTGCGTCGAGAGTGTGCACAGAGAGGTAGTACAGTCGCTCCAAGTTCACTTTGCACTCAGCCATGGCCTTCTTCATGCGGAGGTTTGCAACCTCAGGGCCGGAAACATTGCGAGACTTGAACTTGACGCGCTGCTCTTGGAGGAAACATGGACAAGCCCCAAGGAACGGGTTTGGCGGACGAAAAGACTTGCCAAACTGATCAAACAACTGTGACCGCAAGGTCTTCTACGTAGCCTGTCAGGTTTACGCATAGCACGGCACGGTGAGATGTCCCACGTAGCAGCGACGTGAGCAGCATCTCCAGCCTCTTGTGGCCTTTTTGAGCACAGACTTGCTCATTTGACGGGCGGAGCCTCTCCGCAATTCTCACGGAATCCTTGGGCAAAAATGGCCCCTAGGGGCCCTAGGGGGAAACAAAAACTGGAAGGTCAGGTCATCCAACACAGGGCCAACGAAACACTCAAGGCTGAGAGAAAGCATGTTGGGCCAAGTCAAGACGCTGGCGATTCTGGGATAAGTAGAGACGCCGTCTTCGGCAGAAGCGCCAAAGGGGCGCCAGCACCTTCGGTCTCGTTCGGGCCAACAGTTCGCCCAAAAACGCACAGTTCTGACTGCAGCCAGGGGTTCTCCTCCTGCACGTTGGCCGATACAATGAGCCTTCCCGAGCCGAACCTCCGGGAGTTCGACTTGACTTCCGCCTTGCGTGATTCGCGCGCAAAGCATTCAATCCACCTGTGTTCACAGACCTGCCCCAAGGAATACAGTTCCTCGAAGATCTGTCGCTCCTCGTCCCAGAGTCCTCTTGGTGAGGAGTCTTTGGCCAGGTCTGGAAGCACAAGGACAACGACTGAATTCTTCGGGTTGCTTTCGTTCAGGAGGCTGATTCCTCTGCAAAGCATCGCAGAGTTCTCGCGTGTCCGCGTCCATGGACAATTCCAATCAGCCCATCCCAAAATGGCCACATGCTCTTGGGCGCAATTCGCATCAGCAGCCTATAGGTCAGATTGGCCATCGTTAAAAATATTGAAGCGGTGAACAACAACATACAAAAACAACAACTTCCCCACCAAAGTACACGTCAACCCTGCCATTGGCCAAGGGACCACAGCTTGCTTCATCCTGGAAACCTCTGACATGAGCAAATCCATCTTGCTCACTGATGTCACCCTCACATAGGCATCCTCGGCCAAAAAGTTGAGCCCGTCACAAACCCACTTGCAAGACTGAATCTTCTCTACAACCCATAACAGTCAGTCATCAAGAACCCAAACACACACACCAAAAAAGGCAAAAGAAAAGCGTTGCATAATCCGCAACCCAAAATCTGAATATCCTTGAGTAGCCTTCGTGCCAGCATCAGCTTGTCGCCCTCGATGCAGCACGGCCTTGCTGTGCAACTTGGCCTTGACATGAAGTGGGACCTGCTGTACCTTGGTCAAAGTGGCTTGGTCCTTGGCCAGCGCAGCCACAAAGTATTTCCACTGCGCAGACACCACTGCCTCTTTCTGGGCACTGACTTCGGAATGGATCAAGTTCTGCTTTTCCTTGGATCGCTTTGCGCGGAAGAAGCAACAGAACACAACAGTAACAATACTTTGGCGGGTGTTTGCTTGCGACAGTGTTACACACAAGGCAACCATCATCTCTCAAGCAAAACCGAGCTTCGCGTTCCTCTTGGTGCGCCTTCGCTTTCTGGCTTTGCAGCATTGAGAAAGCAATTCGCTGAGGGCGGCTCTTGAGGAAATGCGAAAAATCATCGTGGAAGCCATCCAAGAATCTCTGGACCATGGCATCAGCATCGCTCTCTGTCATCCGCGCCTTCCTTGGAACTCATTATCGAAATTTCATCCAAACGAATACAAAAACACTTTAACCTTTAAGGTCAACCTATGTTGAAACTGGCCCCCAGACAGAATCGAAAGCATGCCTCAAAACTGGATTGTACGCCAGAGCTCCACTGCGGAAACAATTGGGCAAAAAGGACGGCTAAGTTGCGCTGCTCTGTCAGCTCATCTCCAGTCATCCTGTAGCGCTTCTTGTTGGCAAGGGCGATCCCGACAGTAGCGCGATTGAAGAGCCGCCACACTTTCCGGAAGAAGAGCTCCTGCGCTGGACCAGTCATCGGAAGTTGCCAGTCAACCTGCAATCAGCAATTCAATGTCAGTTTCCAAGAACTTCGAAGAAACAGAATTGGGCATGTTGATTGCGACAACATGTTTAAAATCTGACCTGTGACAAAACCTTGGCAAGGAACCTCCACAAAAGATTCGCCAACCATGGGTGCATCCACGTCGTTTGCGCTAGGGTTGGCTTCGAGGTGCGCCCTAGAGCCCATAAAGCACAGACTGTTGAAGGAAAAAACTTCGCCAAACGCACCCAAACCGAATGGCACATCGTGGCAGGATTGCTGCACAACCTCGAAAGCTTCTGGCGTGCACCGCTCCAGCCAGCTGCGGACTCCCTGCTTTTTTGCGGGAGTCCAGGCTCACGCTCCCGGTCCCGCTTTCTGTCCGGTCACTTGAGAGGACCAAAGGGTGCCCATTGTAGAGTGAAATCGCTATATCCAATGAAGCCACCTCCCTCGACTCACCCACAAAGCTCTGCAAAATGGCGGCCATTTGGAAAGTTGACACTGGCTGCACTCGAGCTGCCAGGTTCTGGCTCGCGATTCTGGTCACCATGTTCTCCAGGTTGGAACTGGTGGCCTCGCTGGCCTTCACCAGAGTTGACACTTGAAGGAATGACTGAATCAACTCTTGGACCATCGGAGTTTTCAGGCTCTCCACAGGATGACTTCTCCAAATGAGCAGCAGGCATATCCAAACGGACATGGCCGCCAGCATGCGCTGACTGCCGTCTCCAAAAAGCAGCCTGCCCACCAGCGATTGGGAGGTGCCGTGCTCAGTCTTCAAGTCTTCCGGCGGCCACACCGGGAAGCGGGCCACTACAACTTCACCCTGGCAAACACAATCAACGGTGAATATTATCAGCCACTTAGAAGTGGCCCACAATGCTCCCACTATACTTACCAAGAGAGGATGAGAGAGGTTGACAGGCTCAGGACATATGAATGAAAGGTCAAATCAATAAGGGTGCGGGTTTCCAGACCGTTCGCTTGTGTCTTTTCAACCTCTCTTGGTAAGGCTTAGATTTCAACCAGGAAGGACATCATCCGTGATCATCCAACCCAGGTGTCGAGACATGTCTAAAATATCCACCCTTGTTTTCTCATTCCTGACAGTTTTGTTTTAAATAGAAATTAGGAACTCAAAAATTTCAATGGTTATTGCGATCCTTGCCGCGTTGCGTGCCACTACAGAGAGAGGCCAGGAGGCCACAAAAATAATTAGGCCCAACTAGACTACAGTTGGCCCTATTTATTTTTGTGGTCTCTTGACCTTTCTTGGTATCTCAAAAGGCGCCGAAGGTGTTATAGGACGCACCCAAGATGTTCTAAGTTAAGTCTTGAATTGTACAGTTTCCACACGAGATATCAAATGTCTATTTCGCGGTGTAGGGGAATTGTCAGGTGTGGGCCCTCAGTGTACTTTCAAGCGAACTTGAGGCGACCTTTAAATTTACTGATCAAACAAGAACGACCAAGGTGAACCTTCTGTTCTAGAAAGGACTCCGCAAGCAACCTTTCACTTTCAATGCTCACGCGCGTCAAGGCCTTACGGCGAGAAAACCAGCGCAGTCAACAGTTTGTGGCGAGAAAATCCAATCTGCTAAAATTTTGTGGCGAGGAAACCTGGCATGAGAGGGATTTGTGGCGAGGAGGTCAGCGACCTCCTCTCCATAACTTTTCAAGTCAACATCCCGAGACATCATTTTCTCCCCACACTCTGCTCTCAACCAGCACACACTTGAGGAGAGGAGGTGAGCGACCTCCTCTCCTTGGCTTTATGTGTGGGTAACTAAGGGGGCAACCTCTACTAGTCTACATATACACTGTGAACAGGGGGGGGGGGAGGTGGTAATAAGGGTTAGTAATGGCTTTGGAGAGGAGGTCGCTCACCTCCTCTCCAGAAATCTGATTTAAAAGAATTTGGTTTGTGGCGACAAACATTATGATGCAGAAGTTGCAGAATGGGCGATATGCCCAGCTTCCCCCAAGCCCCCAGATTTGTGGAGAGGAGGTCGCCGACCTCCTCGCCACAAATTTTTTTTGGGGCATTAGCCTCACAAACCCTTTTTTTGTCACACCTTGCCAGTTAGTAACAGTAATGTCCATGCCGCACCCAAATTTTCTGAGTTTTTGCATTATTGAAGGCTTATTGCTGTCGTTTTGAACGTTTTTGGCGCTTTTGTTTTGCTTACACTTCATTAATTTGCCCTGGTTCTTGGTCTAATTCGGAATCTACACGCAATCGCTGGAAACATGAAAAAACGAAAACCACACCTCCTTGAAACGGGTGAGCGACATGCTTTTTGCATAGCCAACCACCTCTGCCATGGATGTAGATCGCCCTCGCCAAAAGGATTCATCCTCAAAGCTCCAAGCCAGCACGCTCGATGACCATAGGACGCCCAATTTCGGAGGCCATTCCTGGGACGCGGCTGGCATGTCAGCTCTCGACACGAGTTCACGATTTATACGCCTTCAAAAATCTTCATACAGACATTCAACAAAAACAAATTGCACTTCAGACGATGCCGCGGACCTCTTGGGCAAATACAAGCTAGACCTAAAACTTGTTTAAATGTGACATGCCTAGGGTCTGAAGCAGAAATATAGTCGCTCACGAGCACATTCGGGTCATTTGATTCAATGAACCCTGCGGCGTGGCAGAAGGCTGCGCTCTCTTCCAACAACCAGGCGCTGCGGGCAGCTGATTGCGCAATGTCCATAAAGGTTCCACCTCGAAGGAAAGGAAATGGATAGCAGCCTGACTCATCAGGTTGTGGCAAGCGAGCCATGACTGCAGGGTCTGTGGGAGGGCCTGCAAAGTCGTCAAAGCCTTGCTTCTGATCTGCTCCGTGTCGCAAGCTGTACCTGGGAAGCGACGCCGCATGCTCCCTTTAGTTATCTAAATTTCTCAAACGCCTGAAATGTGAGTTTCTGTTTCGGATGAAGTTCTCGTACCTAACGCTTCCAAAGCGGAGCCCAAACAACAAGAAGTTCTAACCTTGACCTGTAAAAAATGGGAAGTATTCGTTCATAGTCGCGTCAACTCGACGCATGCTGCAAGTTCTTTCTGGAAGGAGTCCACCGTGTTCATGTTTGTCGCCTGGGGAACAGCAGCGCTTGCCCCTACCCTTGCTTTCTTCCTAGCAGGCGGCATGATGGCCCCCAGCAATGGCCGATCTCCAAGCCCTTGATTGAAAAAGGCTGACCAGCGACAAATGTCACAACTCACAACACCAGCTCACCAGCTACTTTACTACACTCTGAACTTGAGGCGCAGCACAGTACCAGAACCCTGCCAGCCAGTTGAATTTTTGGCACGCCCGCCGGAGGTTGACAGGTTTCAATGAATTTTGTTGAAGAGTGCAAAACGCTCCAAGATTGCAAAACTCCTTGGGAAGATTCCAAGAGTTCTAACTACACACTGTGTCCTATGGGCTCCAAACCGCGATAGCCGTCATGAAGGTGGCCAGGAAGACTGGCGCTGAAAACCTCAAACATCTCAAATCAGCAAATCTCAGGAGAAACACAACTTCTTAAATCTACCACACGCCTAGCACAAGTCAAAAAAGGCCGTGATTCCAACCTGCATTAATGCTTTGCAAGCGAAGAACGAGTTTCCTGCGAGGTCACCCAATTGGTTTTCCGTCAGAAGGTGCATGCCGTACCTGAAGTACTCGCGGCTGCCAATGCCTTGGAATTTTGCCTTCTCCTGCACAAATGCGGGCTGTGGAGCAAGGAAATGTGAAACTTGCGAAGCGCAGTTAAACCCAAATGTAAAATGCAATTTTTTGCTTTTTGAAACATGACTGACTTGCAATGATCGCATGTAAGCACCAATCCTTGGCAGTCAACAAAGACCATCTCTTGGTAACAATATACTTCCCCGAAGGGAGCAGGCACGGCAGTATGCGAGGGTCCCTCCGATGCCACGTCTGGCGGCCAAATGATTGATCCTGGCACAATGACACATCGCACAGCACGGAACCCATGCTAGTGGAAGGCAAGGAAGAACATGTTTCTGATACGAATGCCTTGTAGATAAACAATTGTCTTGTAAATGAACGTCCAGGCGCCACTTGGATGATGAACGCCTCATCGTAAGGATTCAGGCTGCAGGCAGCCATCTCACACACCGACGCAGCAAGGACAGCCAATTCCCTCTCTGTGAGGGGAATGAGGTCTTTGGTCAGCACACTCACCTTGCCCATATGGTACGCCATTTGCTCCTTGGATAAAAATTAGGTACGCGCTACTGACTATTTTAAAAGGTGTCAGCAGTCATGATCGTGATCTTTTGATGAGTTTGCTTTAAAAGTATCAAGTGCTCTAGTTGTATCAAGACTCATTTCCAAGACGTTCGCAAACACCCATGTACTCTTCCCTCCACTTCTGTCCATGATGCGTGGCAGACTTCTTCTTTGTGTTAACATTCTGCTGAACAGGCGATGCATCCAAGAAATGCTTCAGGCCTAGTGGAGGAAGCCGCAACTGGTTCACAAAGTCCTCGCACGGCTGGTGAGACCTCAAATAACACACAACTGACGCTGCCAGCACCCCAGCATCAAACAATGAGCGAACGAACGGTCCATTCATAAACCATGACATTGAGACCAGCGGCCTCAAGCACGTGGCCCGCACATAGACTACATAGCATCTTGTTCGAGACTGCGCCAACCCGAAACTACTACTATTCAGCAACATGGCCAAGCAAGGAATAAAGCCTCGCTTCTTCATGGCCTGGTTCTGCACGTCCAGGGGCTTCTCATCTTGGAAACGACCCCTCTTTTGCACCATGCCCCTAACGTTTTCCAACAGTGCCCATTCCAAGGTGGGCTGGCTGTCAACAAACTTGATGAATGCATGAAAGCCTCCACCTGTTGAAGACTGCTTGTCTTTAAAAGGCTGCGGATTGTTGTTTTGGCTGCTGATCGAACGACAGGGGTATCCCACCACAGCACCTGAAACCTGAGCGCGCAGATCTGTCAAATCAAAGTAGTTGCGCGCACTGGGTGGAGAAACATCTTGGGTAAAAATTGTTTGCTGTCAGCTTGATGGCGGCAGTTTAATGAAAAGTTGCTGCAACAAGATAAAGAAACTGGTGCAACATGCAAAATCTTTCCAGTAAGGTGATCATGGGCCTTTCCACGACCAAGGTCCTTCATGTCGCTGAAGATGGCCTCCGTGTTCGGGAAGGCAGTCCTCAAGTGATCAGCCTTGAACTTCTCGGACTCGCACATCCAGGACATCTTGAACTGGGCAGGGCCACAACCAACGTACACATGTCATGGCTGACTGGTCCTGTACATCTTTCTAGCAAAAAACATGTTCTTCAAACCCCTGCAACAAACACAAGAGCCTGTGGAAAATCTTCATCAGGATAGAGCTCTGAAATCTTCTCGTTAAGGGCGGTTAGAACCATCTCCGCCACACCCCAACCGGAGCAAATGGATCCAATTCGAATGGTTCTGCTGAATTCCTCCTTGCGGGAACAGTTGCGAAGAGAAGCCATGAAACTCTCCACAAGCTTGGAGTCAGCATGGGCAGAAAAAGCCCAATCAGCCCAAGTGTCGACCTTGAGGAAACACCGCACGCAAGAAGTAGGCTTTGCGATACTTATTTCAATGTTTCTTGACAACGTAGCTTCACGTGGAGTCTCTTCTTAAACGCAACACTGCAGAAAAAAAGGTAAGTGAGGGCCGTACCCCAATTCCATTTCGGGCAATGAAGCTAGTGTCAGCCTGAGGCTGCACCTCTGGCTGAGAATGTTCACTGTCGGAGGCAAAAAAATCTGATCCATCACCAGGAGGAGGTGGAAGACACTTCCTGGCGCAGGGTACAGAACCAAAAGGATATACCTTAAGGGGTGCAGGAAAAGACTCCAAAGATTCCGAATATACCGAGGTTTGTCGTGTCCTTCCACCCTGTTCATCATCACTCTCAAACAGCATGTCAGCGTCCAATTGAGGTGCTGCAGGAACAGGATCAGGTTCATCACCTTCCTGCTGCGTCCTGCAAACTGGGATCGTAAGGAGAAATGGCCTTTGGTAGTAACCTCGAACGACGGCGTCGGACGGGGTTGGGAACAAGAAATGGTACCTGGTTTTGGTTAACTACTATAGTTCTGATACATCTTGACATTGTTGTTGGCAATCTTAAATATATCTAAAATTGTAGCCTTATATATGCTTTGAGAAGCTATTATAATATCCTTTGCACTCCCTTGTAGATGTTGCGCGATGTTGTTTTCTTCTTGTTGTTGCCTGAAAACGGCAGGGTCTCAGCGGAACTTGCAGTTTCGCACACAATACACAAAACGGTTACCGTTCTGAAGTTCTGACCCATAACTGAACACGTTTAGGCCCACAAGGCTAGAGGTCGACATGCGTTCCACACACGGGCCTCGGTATCGAAGGAAAAAGAGCCATAGAACGCTTTGAAATCACATAATGTTGGTCTCCGGGGGCCAACAACGATTACCACGCCTTTTGAAACCCTATACCACATGTAAGAGGTTTAGATCGCCGCTCACATGGCTCTTAGCAGTAGGGCTTCGCCCTTAGCTTCCAATGCATACTAAACAAAAAAGCACTAGTCATGATCTCCCTCACCATCTTCAAAGTCAATTGGCTCTAAATCATTGTCGGAAGCATCGTCTGAATCGTTTTCTGGGAGCTTTAAATCAACCACCTTCTCTCTGGGCCGAGGCCCCCATGCCTCTCTTGGACCTGGGCCCTCTCGCACACAACCATCATGCCGGCGCTCCAAAAATGAATAGCGCTGTGGCCGTGGAAGCAGCTGTAACGATGACTCAGCCCAATTCAACAGGTAAGCTCCAGCATCTGGTGGCAGAGTGAGGTTCCTCACCAAAGTCGGAACCTTGCTGCGGATATTTTTCGCAACTTTCTCCTTGATGGCTCGTCTTGGGGCAACGCCCTGAGGTTGCGCAAAGCTCCGGCGCACAGTAGCTGCTCTTGCTGCTGTCATCACGGTCACAACTTTGAAGGGTTCTGGACTTGCCATGAACCTTTTTGCAATTAAAATGATGTCATTCTCCGACCGCTCGGCTCCAGCAATTTCCTGCACTTCACAATGCCCATAAGATGAAGGGTCTATATCCTTCCGGAGGCTGATGCGCACCTGCCCAACACCGCCTCAGTCAAACCAAATCAAAGCGATTATGCTCAATCAAATAATGGCCCAACGCGATCATTCTCAAACCCCCGCAACAAGCGTGTAAACATCAGTTAACTTATCCTGTGACGCTGCTGGGGCGCGCAACCCTTTGACTCGAACTCCAGCCATTGCAGCCCAGTCCTTCCAGTTGGCCACCTCGTCCAACTTGTACGCCACGCATTCTACCTTCGCAAAGTTTCCCTTCTGCGCCTTGCGCGCAGACTCGCCTTCACCTCGAGGACGACCAGAAGAATCCATGAGTTCAATGAGTTCTTCTGGATTGTTGAACTCATTCCGGGATATGAGCTGCGCCTGAACACTGAAGACTTGGTCGATGTCTTCGTGACCTGATACCCAAGGCTGGGACCCAACTATATATTATAGAAGGGCAGGCAGGCGACAAACAACAACAACAACATTCAACGCCCACAAAAAGGCATTGCATAGGCTCAGGACAGGCATCTGTGCCCTACCCGCAGGTAGTTGCAAACAGTCCACCGGAAGGTGTTCAGTGCAACCAGGAGGATGTGGAAGGCAATGTAGTGCCGGTTCTTCCCTTCTCGATATGTATTGTCTTGCTGGATTGCCAATCCAGGTGGCAAGCCATGCTCCCTGTAAATAGCGTCCAAGCCTCTGGCCAGCTGTTCCATTTGACAAGCCGAATCTTTGGCCAAGTTTTCATCGCTGATCGCAAATTGGATTCTGCGGCCGTGGATCCAAAGGCCAGCCACGTGCAAACGTGGTCTAAACAGTGAAGCGTATTGTTTGGAGTTGGCGGCGAGCTGTCTGATTCTTGGAACTTTGAACTTGGCCTGGTCCATGCCGTCATGGATGCCGCAAATACAGCTTGTGGCTACTGCTTCACGTAGGATCCTGAGAGTCACCAGGTTTCAAGACACAAACAATTGATTTGAAACCTGTAATGGCTAAAATTCAGGTAGGATCCTGAGAACCGCCCGGTTTCAAGATACAAACAGTTTCTTTGAACCAAAAGAACTGCACTTTACAGTCTGACAAAAATAATGAAATCGAGAATCCGGTCGCTGGCGCCGCCTGAAAGGGTTCTTCGGAACCACGCTTGTGATAGGGACCTGAATGCCCAATATGTCTGTCGATCCAGCCACTGGGCTAAAACGCGCGATGAGTACGCTTTGATCGCACTCTCCTGCCCAGTGGCCCCACCATTGATCAGCCTCAATCTGCTCTTCAGCTCAACGCACAAATCACACTTTGCGTGCTGACTCGCTTTCCTGAAGTGCAGAAAACCGTCCCTCAAGTATGGCCCCATCACCTTGTTCACCACACGTAAAAATGTGCTGAAGGATGCGGGCGCCTGCGAGTTCGCATGGCAATGGGCGACGTACTCGAAAAATAGTTCTGTCCGCGAAGAGTGCCTCAAGAAAAACACATGGCTTTGGGCAGCAATGAAAGAGGGTCCAGTGGTTTCATACCAAACATTTCCATGAAGGAAAAACAATACAAATGCTTGGATGTAGTACGCTGCGCTACTGGAGCTCTCGTCGCTCGCCCTTAAAGGACCCAGGCCCTACAAGACGCAGGTCTATGTCAGAGCGATATTGATGCAAGCCATTCATGAATTCATTCACTCGCCGATCCACGCTCTCCTTGTCCCTGTCTTCTGCCAGTTTGAAAGGTGCTTCAGATCCGTCAAATTGTTCAACGGTAGGTTTGCGCAGGCTATGCCCACCCTCAGGCATGAACTCTGCGGAAGAGTGGTAAATGATCCACAGGAACATCAGCACTGATGGCCACTTCTCCGCTGCGTCACCTCTCAAACTGAACCCGAACGTTGGGTGCTTCGGGGCCTGCGCCCGATTCGAAGTGTATCCGAGCTGCCCTGAACGCAATCTCTGCAGCACTTTCTGGCCCACCGACAAAAGTCTGCAGTATGCTTTGAGGCAAACAGGCTTCCCCAAGAACATGAAACCATCTGGACGACGTGAGGCATAGGCACGCCGAGCCCTGCCCAATTGGCATTGGGCACGGTCCGAATCTGACGCAACAAGCATGTCATCGTCGTCAGAAGCCACCATCCATTCTTCTCCATCCGACGCATCGAGTTCTGAGTCAGTTTCTTCGAAATCTGGTTCGCTGGCTCGAGGGTCTTCAGTGTTGAATTGCTGCTGGGCGGCAGGGCTGGAACTTAGCAAGTTCCTCCGCAAAAACTCATCCTGAAACAAGGGTTGAACTAAGGTTGAACAAAAAAGCAGGACTATTGCCACACTCTTGTCAACCTAGACTGAGTTGCATACTACTAAAACATTTGGGGCATGACCCTTGCCTTTTGATGAGGCTCCAGCGCCTGGAACTCTTGGTGCTTAGCTGACACAGCTTCGGAGCAATCGCGGAACTGTTGCAAACAGGTTTGCCTTTGGCAGGTGCACATTGTTGCAAGGAAGCCCAATCCCACACCTTGGGGCGTACGAGTCGGGACCATCGCCTTGGTGCGATCGGCGCCACCTTCAACTTCATCATCTGAAGCATGCAGCATGAAGCGCTGGAGCTGAAGCGAATGAAAGGAAAGGCCAAACAATTTCTATGTAACTTAGCCTGGTGGCTCTCTTGCAAACAAAATCAATGAGTCTGAAATTGAAAATACATAAATATATATTAATATGTATATATATATATGTAATACCTTAAATGTATGTGTGTGTGTATATATATATATTCCAACCAAATGTTTTTGCTCTGTCTAGATGGGGAAACACGGAAGGAAATGAAAAGTATCAGTGGATATTACAACAATTTTTTGTTGTTTTGAGCCAACGTTCTGCTTTGAATGCATGCGGCATTGTAGACAACTCGCTCCCTGCAAACCTCTGCTTACAGAGTGACCACCTCTTAAAACCAACTCACTCCCTTGTGAACAGGTTAACCCAGATTCGCTCCTCGAATTGGCTGTGGCCGGCCGCTTACATGTCACGGCAGCGGGGCGTTTTGTCGCAGCAGGCCGTTTCATCGGCATGGAACCAACCCTCAAAATTCAGAGCCAAACTTCTAGCTTTGTTGCAGCAGCTGCAACTCACAAAGTTTGTCTTTGACGCAAAAAGACATCTCCGACTCATTACGCACTAGCCAGCACAGCAAGTGGTACACTCAAAGCTTTCCAACAACATGACAAAGATTCGTTTGCACCTTGCATCTGATGCAGTTTGCTGGTGGTTTGTTTTCGTTTGTTGCACAGAACATGACAAACAAACCATTATGACATACACTGAGTGTGACTGGCAAATCGCTTCAAAACGTTCTTGGCCACGCTAGCCTGTAAATGCGACCGTGACAGCAGGGTGTGTGGTCCAGGGAGCTGACAGCCAAATTCAAATTGCTGCCCAATGGACGGCGGCAGTCGACTTAAGACATGATACAGTGAGCATAAGCGTTCTTTACCTGTTGCCTGTCGAAGGTTCGTTGCTTTCTGAACGGAAAAATCTAAGTTGATGGGCCTTCCCCAGAGAAATCGAACAGCTCCCTTTACAGCGAAGGTTCTAACTTCTGCGAACTAGGAGATTGTCGCACATGGTCCGTGTGGGCCTTCTCTGGTGGGCGTTTTCTTCCTGGCAAGTTCATTGCAAAATTGTTGTAGGCTATTGTTTTGCCTCAAAAGTTCCACTACGTATCAGGTTTGCGGGTTTTCTTCGTTTTCACGAGAGTTGCCTTTATTAGAGTTCATTACAAACAGTTGCATCAGACCCCGGTGTCGAATGTGTGTGGACCTAGCGCGCGCAAGGAATTGAATCATAAAGAAAAAGTTAAGTGCAAAAACTCACACACACACACACACACGCACGCGCGCACGCACGCACGCACGCACGCACGCACGCGCGCACGCACGCACTCACAATTCCAATGATGGGGCTGTCACTGCTCAACTATCATTCACAGGTTGAATGACAGCAGCCAACATAGTCAGTGGGTCAGCCAATCACAGCCTGCCCAAAAAGGCAAACCACCCACCTCATGAAACCACTCCCTGCCACGAATTTGGATTCAATCCAAACCAAGGGTCACCCACTCGAGAGTGAGGTGGCCGAGCTGGATGGTCCTATCCAGCGTCTGCACGACGGCCTCAGCACTGACGTGGCCACAGGCGTCACCAGCACTCCAGCGTCATCTCCGAGAACACGGCCTCGATGAGAACTCGCTGATCATGCACTATGACCTTCTTGGAGAGGAGGCTCCCGGCCCTGAGCAGGCCCTTGGAGAACTACCTGCACCTGGAGACCTTGGCCCTGAGCAGGCCCTTGGCGAACAACATCGACTACCAGAACACGGCCCTGAGCAGGCCCTCGGTGGACGTGACACGGCCTCAGAAAGGACTTCTCGAGGAAGGCCAACTTGGCTGCCGTATTTCCTTCAAGCCCGCCAACTATGGAATGGACTCACCTTGGAAGAGCTTGAGTCCCATTGGGAAGTCGTCTGGTGTCGCATCACGGAGGCCCTTACAGGCAACCTGGTTATCGACTCGCCTTGCACGGCCAAGACCCTTCCACCTCAGGCCTACGAGAGCAACTTTATGACCGAAGTGTGGGGTGCACCTCGGAAGTTCCTCTCCAAGATCACCATCGCCACTCCAGACTCCCCCATTGTGGGCTTCGACTATGAAGGAAGGCTCAGTGACACTGGTCCTCTATGGGCATTTGAAGGTCCCCTGGCGGAGGATGAGGCCACTGACTTCCTGGAGGTAGGAAACGCTGGGAATCACACGGACTTCCCTCAAGATCCTGGAAGCTTGTTTTGGGAAGCTAGTTTTGGGAAGCACACCTGGAAGCCTCTAAAACATGGCTTCTTGGATCTTGCAAAAAACTAGCTTCCAGGAACTCCAAGAAGCACTTCTTGGAAATCAAAGAAGCGCTTCTTGGAGCTCCAAGAAGAGCTTCTTGAAGTTCAAAGCCCAGCTGTTTTTCACCATGGCATGGTGTGTGAAGGTGTGAAACTTAGGTGAAAAGCTGCCTTACACAGGCTGCCTTTGAGGTGCCTGCCTGCCTTGCACAGGCTAAATGGCTGCCTTGCTCAGGCTGTGTGAGCGCCAAGCCATGGCTGTGCGCTCATGAAAGCTAGCAGGACTCTTTCAGATTCCAGTCCTACATTTCTGTGACCACCTCTCCTGGTATAGAATCCTTGGAGGGTGGACCCAAAGGTCTCATCTCTATAGGTCCAGGTGTCCTTTGGACACAATCCTTTGGTGCGCACATCGTCTAAAATGTGCTGCAGAAGGTGGCGCTTTGGTTTGGAATGCCAGCTTTGGTCATCATCTGCTGCAGCAAAGCAAGCTTCCAGTGCCATGTACTGGCTCAATAATTTCTCACCATTGGCAACCAGGCCTGGTGGGTCAAAGTTTTCCAATGCTTTGTACATTTCTGTACAAAATCTGGCAACATTGTACACCGCCTTTTGCAACATGTTGCCTTTGTGCAGGCTCTTTGCCTTGCACAGGCTCTCCAGCCACAAGGCAAAGTGTCTGATATCATTGGCTTTGGCATCCAGCTCAGCCACTCTTTTTGGCTTTTTGATGTCCAAAAGAGTTAGCTTGGCTAAGCGCTTATCCCAAGGAACTTGGAATTTTGTATAGAGTTCCTGGATGTCCTTCCATAAGTTCTTAATTTGCTCATCTTTGTTTTTGCCATACTCTGGCAGAAGGTGGGAGAGGACCTGGCCACAGATGAGTGCGCCAAAGCCCTCATCCACAGTGCGCATCCAATCAGGATGAACATTGTGGTTGGTAAAGCCAGGCAGCCTGAAGATTGCAGCTTGCACCTTGCCCCTGGATCGCACTGATTCCAAAAATTGCGCCTTGCTCAGGCTCTTTTCCATCCTGTCTCCCCTGCCCCATTCCTTCCACTGGTTAGGTCGACAGGAGCACCTCCAGCACATGCCTTCCAACACATTGAACTGAGGCACCCCCAGCCATTTGCAAAAGAAATCCCAGTCACCTCTGATGTGCACTAGGGCACATTTACCTGGCATGTTTTGACCTGCCTTATCCAGGCTAGTTTTCTCCTTGGGAGAAAAGGGGGAGCCATCATGCCTGGTGCAGGGGTGTTTGCCTTTCCCCAGGCTCTCTAGGGACCATGCAATGATGGACCAGATGGCTTCAATGGTCTCTGCACCACAATTGTATTGGGCATCAAGGCAGCATATTGGGATCCTGACACTTGCCTTCTTCAGGCTTCCAGGCAGATTGAAAGTTAGAAAATCTAATGTGGATTGGTTCATCCTGCCTTGCACAGGCACTCCATCCCCATGGATGGCCAAAGGGAACATGCCTTGCACAGGCTCCTTCCAGGCTGCACACACCTTCGACAATTCTGCATACAAAAAAGTACCTGGTGCAGGCATGCCTTCATTCCAAGTGCCTTCTAGTGCCAAATACTGGCTCATGACCTGGTGTGGCAGCAAAAATGGAATTAATGCAGTTTCTGTTTCCTTTTTCTTCCTATTCCAAACAGGAATGGTTGCCCAATACAATTCACCCCAAACTTGGCTTTGCCTCTGCCACCTTCTGAATGACCTGGCTGCGTTGGAATAAGCTTTGCCTTCCTCAGGCTCATCTTGAGTGGCACTGTGTTGGAATGGATGCTTGAAGTCCAGGCCTGCCTCTGTTGCTTGCTCCATCAATTTTCGAGATTCTTTTGAATTTAGTGTGTTTGTGTTTTGTAATCTCATGAGAGATGTTCCAAAGATATCTTCTTTTTTCTTTTGATCAAAACTTGGGAGGCAGGCACCTCAAATGGCTCCTTCTTTCGTTTTGGTGCTGACATTGCCTTGTGCAGGCCCCCCAGAAAACATAGGCACCATACGCATGTCCTATACCACATTGGGTACTGGTGGGCTGATAATCCAAAAAGCTGCTGCTCAACAGATACAAACTCACACCAGATAATCCCAACAGCACTACCCCCTAACAGCTGTGCATTTTTTTCAAAAACAGTATGGGCACACTTGGCTCCATATCATCCAAAAAAGCGATGTTAGCCTTGCACAGGCTCTCACAGGCAAGAGTCAATTGCCTTGCGCAGGCCGTCAGCTAGAGATGCCTTCATTTCTTGCCCAAAGCTTGCTGGGTCCAACTTTCTTGTTGGCAGCCTTCATATAGTCCTCAATTCCTTTCTTGTCCTCTTCCATCTTTTGGATGAGTGTTGCGCCTTCTTCAGGCTCCACCTCAGGCATGCTGGAGTGTTGGTTCATGACCTTGTCCATCCATTTCTCCTTTTCATCAGTCCATTCTTCGATGGTCTTCTGCACTGATTGGAGCACATTGGGAGGGACCAAAAGCTGATTCTTTTCAGCCTTGCACAGGCTTGCCCTGAACATTTGGAGCTTGTCCAAGCCTGAGCTCAAAGAAGAAAAAGCCTTTTTCAGGCCCTGATAAGCCTTCTTAAATTCCAAGCCCAGGTCTGTGCCTTGTTCAGGCTCAGGTGGGGGTGCTGGCAAAGG